CCATTCCCTCCTCTGTCACCTAAACCAAGCAGAAAACCCAATCAAAGCCCCTGAAATGTGGAAATTTCCTTCCAGTGCCGGCACTCGGCGTTCAGAGGAGTCTGTCTGTCCGTGCTGGCGGCAGACACTCACTCAGGATCGGGTACATGAGCAGCACTTTCCTCCTGTAGATGTCTGGGGGGAACTTGGCGTAGTACACCTTGGCTCGCTGGGTCTCCTCGTCGCTCTGGATCAGGATTTTCCCGATGCGGATGGATCTGCAGCAATCCCGCAGGCCCTGCTCCATCGCCTCCCCTGCAAGGGGCAGCACAAACACAGCAGCAGATGATCCCGCAGGCCCTGCTCCATCGCCTCCCCTGCAAGGGGCAGCACAAACACAGCAGCAGATGCTGACACTGACAAAGGGCTCAGGGCTGCAGGGAAAGGGACAGTCCCCAAATGGACAGTCCCCAAAAGGACAGTCCCAAAAGGACAGTCCCAAAAGGACAGTCCCAAAAGGGACAGTCCCACCCCTGTGCTGGTGAACAGCTCTAAGCGTTCGAACACTTGAAGCTCTTTCCCTTTTTCCCCATTTACAGCAAACCGAGTCTCGCTGGTGTTGCTGAGCCCCTGGGTTTGGTGTTCCCACCTCTCCCAGGAGCGAGCTGGAAAGGGCAGAAGGCGCGGGTGGGGTTTGGGGACATCCCGGTGACAGAGGGTGGGGCAGAGTGTGGGGCTGCTGGCTGTGACAGCTCAGATCCAAAGGTTTGCCCCAGCCCTGGGCAATACCAGGAACTCTGCCCCCATGGAGCGTGGCTGGGGTGGGGCCCTGGCTCTGGGCACAAGTGGGAAACAGGGGAGGGCTCCTGGCCCCTCACAGGGAGCAGCTGCCAGGGAAGAGGCCACAGGAGATCTGTTCCAGCCATTTGTCTCTTAAAGGTTAATGGGAGATATTCCTGGACATCCTGTTATCAAGGATACCTGAGAAAGAATTTGGGTAAGCCTGTTGTTGCACATCTTAGCAAGGAAGTTGCCTTCAGGTTTCCAGAGCATTTAATGCGTGCTCCTTCAGCAGCCAGCAGCACCTACCGCTCCTCATGATGCTGACCCCGCAGTTTCCCTTTTCAAACCGGACTCCTTCGTACTTGTGTCCTGTGAGGAAAGAAACCAGGGCTCAGTGGCAGTGGCTGCTGCTCCCTTCTGCCCTCTCTGAACAAAGAGGAGATAGTCCTGGATCTGTCACTGACTGATGGGAACAGATGTGACACCAGTGCTCAAGCAGCTGCTGCTTGACACAAAAAGGAGCACAGGTAAGGGATGGTGCCTCCTGGGTGGGTGTGTGAGCTCTGGTTCCACAGCTGAGAGTTTGCAGTCCATCATTTCTCTAAGAGTAAATGAAGCCACACCAATGCTTTACTGCAGAGTGGGAGTGTCACCCTGCAGGAATGCAAGTGGAGTTCTCAGGGGGAGCAGGACTCAGCTGGTGCAGTCTCACAGGTGTGATGTGGGTCACACCACACAGCTGAGAAGCTCCTCACAACCTGCTGATGCACTCAGAAGCTGCCTCTGAGTACTGCACACCTGAGCATCTGTAACCCTACAGATCTTTACAGCTGACAGGAGGAACCACAACCCCTGCAATGGTTTTCTCTAGTGCAAACATAGCCACTTTTCATTTCCTGCTCATCCTCACTCCCAGCTGGCCCCAGTTGCAGGGCCAGATTTAGGCTGGCAATGATCCTCTGAGTCTCTTCCACCTCAGGATATTCTGTAACTCTTGTAATAATCTATGTATTTTGATATCAGTTCCACTTCCAGTCCTGCCCAGGCCAGGGGTGAATTCCCACATACCTGTTGGAGTGGTCACAGTGCATTCTGTGTAGGGCAGTTGATTCAGTCCCTCTTCAACCACGAGTCTGATCTGTGGAAGCAAAGAGATGTGTCAGCTTAAAGGGATTGCTATCTCTGGAGATAAGGCACTTCATGGCAGTAATAGTTACAATGACTGGGTGAGCCCAAAGGGTCTCTTTAACATCAGTTAGGGACTGATTTTAGAGACCTTTTTGGGGTGAGGCCTATGTTTTGGCCACAAATCAAACAAAGGCATTGCAGAACAAAATTGGGAGAAGAGAGGGGTTCATAAGCAGTCATAAAACTGACTTCATTTACATCTGACAGGCAGAGGCTTCAGAGACAAATTATTCTCAACAGGTGAGGGAGGCACCAATGCCACTTCATTTGCTGACAGGAAATCCTGGTGAGGGAAAGGAGAAGTTCCCCCTCAGCCAGGCTCTATTTTCACATCCCTGTTTCTAGGACCAAACTGCAGCTGGGCTGCCAGAACAGCCCCAGAAGCTGCAGCAATGCACACACACCACCAGTGCCCAAAGACAAGTAGGCAGATTTAGGAATCTCTTTATGACCATCTCCAAGCTCCTGCCAGCTCTGGTTTCCATGTGGTGCTCTGCCAATCCCTGCAATTTTGGATGGTCCAGGTGAAGGGGCAGCTTGTGAGCCCCCCAGCCCTCCCCTGGTGCTGCCCTGCAAAGTACAAAACACACCCATCTGCACCCAGAATGATTGTCCTGAAGGATGCTCTGGGTATTAAAGATGTGAGAATTTTCTCTGTTCATGAGCCAAAGATTCACAGGCCAGAACTGCTCAAGGAAAAGTACTGCCAAGCAGAAGCTTTAACTAAAAAATCACAATTATTCAAAATTCACTGTGGGATGGCAGAAGTGAGGCAATGTTCCTCAGGATGGATGATGCTCACCTCAGGCAGTTCTTATTCCAGGACAGCCTGGAAGGTTTTTCCTGTCCTTCCATTCTGCCCCAGTTCCTGGCACACAAGCAGCCTCTGCTAGAAATGGTCCCTTACATTTATAACTTCTCTTTCAAGGTATTTTTAGTCATTTTAGTACAACTTTTTTCTTCCTAGAGCTGTATTTGTGGCAGCCATACTCAAGAGCTTGTGGTCAGTTTCTGGTGTATTTCTACCCAGTTTTATGTTTTTGAACTTAATTCACAAATAAAAAAGCCAATCTATTTGCCAGGTTTGAAAGAAAAGCTTTTTTTGTTTTGCTGTAGTCTGACATTGCTCCACATAACCTGCCAAAAGTTTAGAGTAATCCAGTGAAGGTCTTATGGTCAAATAATCTCTGTGATCTCCCCACACTTATCAATGTTTTACACAGAGGCTGGAAGGATTCTTCATAAACTTGTCAGTGTTGATAAAACATTAATTTTTGCACTGTGCTTTCTGCCACCTCCACACTCAGGGATTAATTTCCTCCTCTTTTCTCTTGTGCCCCAAGAATCAACTGCTCCTCTCCAGAGAGAGGTGGCTGCCATTGCTTAGAAGATAAAACCAGTATTATTACAGCCCCACATGAAACAGGAAGTAAAGCTTTGGTCCCAAGGTAGAAAATCCTCTAATCCATTATGCATGGCTTTTCTTGGAAGCTCAAGAGGAGGCAGAATGTCCTCTGCATCTCTACAGCTCAGCATTTCAAACCACTTTTGGATGCTCACCCCTTGAAAGAGGTGGGCAGAAAGGTGAAGTGACCTGGTCAGTGTTACAGAGGGAGCTGCTGGTAAGATTGAGAAATGCACTCATGGCTCCACCTCAGGCCTCCAGTGACCCCCAAAAATGTGCTTTCTGCTGCACCAGCACCTGTATCAGCAATTCAGTGCCTCCAGTGTGTGGTGTGGGATCAGGGGGTGCCTCCTGCCCTGAGAGGAGCTCTGTGCTGTTCCCACCACCTGCCCTGAGTTCCAGCTGTCCCCAGTTCCACCAGCAGCAGCCATAAGGACTGATTGTCACCCATGCCAGGGGCTGCTTCTCCTCCTCCACAAACACCACACAGGTTTGTCTTGGTCCTTCCTCATGACTTTAACCTCATTTCTTTCAGCTTCAGGATCACAGCCCTGGCAGTGCCTTTCAGACACTCCCTGCCAACCTCCACCACCCATTAAATCCTTTTTCTCACAAATATCTTCAAACATTTCCTTTGTGTCATCCCCTTACGTGTGAAACAAACTGTCAGAAGGAAAAACTGCATCACCAGAAATCCATTAACTTCAGAATCCCTCCTTAAGACCTCTCCCTCTGGTGACCTCAGGAGACACTGCCCCTAACAGCTGCCAAGGTAGGAGCAAACTTAACTTCATTCTCACTGCAACAAGGTGTTTTTTCTTCCCCTATAATCCCACACTTTTATTCATGTATTGCCTCTTGCCCTTAAACTCTGTTTGCTCTCTGGGTGGAAAAGATGGCAAGTCATAACTGTCTGCACCTTGCCAAGTATGGTAGAGACCAAATCCCACATGAAATTATAACTGTTCTTGTCACACCTAGGAAAATTATTTAGAAAATGAGTGCTACATATTCTTTTGTGCAGAATTCCTCCTAAAAAGTGGAAAACAGAGCTGCAGGACCAGCACACAGAGGGTCTCTGGCTGTGCTGGCCAGCCCATAGAGGACACTGGTGCAAGGACCTGAACTCACTCCCTGGATCTGCAGTTTCCAGCAATGAGAGGGGGGAAAAATTCAGTGTTTGCCTCAGAACAGGGCAGGGCACCCAAGAAAGGTGAGAAGGCACATGGAAAAAAGTCCTTCACACTAATTACTGACAATAAGGTACTGGAATGCAGGAAACAGCCTCAAGAAGGGGAAAGTAGGGGTGAAAGTGGAAAGCTGTGAAGATAAAAAGCACTGCAGTCACAATCTTGGGTTGTGACTGAGCAAGCCTGGATTAAGGTTGGGCTCATCACAGGAATCCTGCCTGCTGTGGCTGTAACTGTGAATGGTTTCTGGACTATGCTGGAAGGAAAAACACTTCCCTCTGTTAATGAGAGTGGATTTGCAAAAAGCAAACACCCTTGTGGACACAAGCATGTGTGTGGCAGCAAGTGATGGGGTTTTCTTTAAGCTTGTAATTTAAATGAGATAAAGGCTGCACTTCCTACTGTCTTTGTTCTGATTTACTAAAATACGTGAAAACTTCAAACTGCTTTGTCCCTGCCAGTAACCACCATATGGCTAAAGACAAATTCTCCATGGGGATGCACCCAGAGCTACTAATCTAATACACAGCAAGTGCCAGGAGGCACTTCTGCAGGCAAGCAACTGGTAACATGTAGGCTGTAAGAAATTATACTGCTCTGTTCACAAGATCAAAGTGCTGCTTCAAAATAAAACTCAATTATCTGCAACCTCTGTGCATCTGGTTTTGAACAGAATTCTCTTATTACTACAGGTCTCTGTCCTCAAGTAGCTGTGTCTGGTAACACCACGGTTTCTGGAACCTGCTGAGATGAAACAGTGAACAGAAGTCCCTTTACAGAAAGTTGCTGTCACACAGAAATGTCCTTTGGGTAGAAAAGTTGCTGTCACACCACCATTCTTGTGTTCTGAGAGACCCATTTTATGAAAGAGTTGCAAAGTAGAATATCAAGAAGAAACTCTTCACCTACCAGACGATCAGCAGAAAATACGAAGTCTCCTCTACTGGATTTCCTGAAAAAGGTAATAATTTACATTTTAGATTGGGGAATAACTTTAAGAACATTGCTTAAATACAATAATAAATACTATATTCCAAGGCAGTTCAGAGAAAAGTCTTCTATTATAGATTAAATTTATCCCAGAGGTTCTGCATCATGGGTTTCCTGGCTGGTGGCAGAGATGCAGTGACCCAGCACTGGGGTTTGGCTCTTGCTGCTGGCAATGCTGCTGCTCTGCACCAGTGGCAAAACACAAGAGGATGATGTTCTGTAGGTTTCCCATGGTGCTGTTGTTCCAGCTCAGCTCCAAAACACCTCCTGAGCTCAGACAGATATTCCTGCATTCCCTGCAGCCCTGAGCAAGTGAGCTTTGCTTGCCTGTCCTCCAGTCCGTCAGAAGTTGTGGGACAATGATCATGCAGCTCCTTAACCCAGGGCTGACAACACACCTGATAAAGCAGGAGATACATCTTATCTTATCTGGAATTCACTGAGTGTGATTAGATCAGTGAATGTGGGGTTAAACTGAGCAGGGATTAACGAGCATTCTCATGAAAACACATCTCTGCCTCTTATTAGCTGGGTACAACCTTTTGCTCATGTGCCTTTGTAGCTTTTGGCCCCTTCAGGAGGTAAAAATGAAAGGTTAGAGCCTGAATTTTAGAAGCAGCTTTAACACCTTTCTTCTCATGCCAAGAGCAGCTCTCACCACACCAGAATAAGACCCGTTTCCAGTCAAGGAGCCAACACTCACAGGACAGTAGCCTTGAAAACCCTCAGACACAGCACCAACATGGTAAGAGGTACTTCTAAATGAAATGTTCTATTAATCCCTCTCATGTTTTCAAACCCTGATACTCTGCATGTCTCCTTAAATACCATTTTGTATTTAATCCCCAAGATTCTGATACACCTCGTGGTTACATGAATTAAAGTCAAAAGGTTTGTCTGCTCATTGCCACTTATTCCCCACATTAAAAAAGAGGTTTTAAAAGAGCATTAACTTAATCTAGTTTCTTTCCTTGTGCTAATAACACACTGTTAAAATACTGATTGTTTTGATTTTTCCTTCTTTCTGGTAATGACAAGATATTCCTAGCTTTCTGCTATTCTGATATTAACTAGACAGGCAATGCTCAAAAAGACCCCAAAACTGCAAAAAAAAAAATCAAAACCCCAACCCCAAATCCGTGCAATTATATGACCTGATTTTATTAAGGATTTTGGAAAATTTCATATATGTGATGTAGATAAGAGGGAAGTAGCTAAGTGGCATATCTAGGTTCTTCCAGACTGGCATTTCAGAAAATTTAGCTGAATTTCACAAATAGGTGTAAGACAGAGCCAACAATGTCCAGACCACAGTTTTGACTGAAAAGTGATAACATGTTTAGAGTGAATCATCTGAGTTATAAATGCAGATTATGAGGTTTTGAACCAACTCCTCTGTCCTTGCAGAGACACAGATGTTCCTCTGCACAGCTCACTACACACCCTTCATTGGTTTTACCTGGCTTTTGAGAAGGGGAGGGCAACAGAAAACCACAGTGCATACAAATAACAGTAATACAGAAAATGTCAGACCTCATGTACAGGGGCAGCTGGAAAGCTGTGACCACATCTCAAACCCCACATCCTGTCAGAATTGCCAGGGGGCAGAAAAAGAAGGGTTTATGTGAAAACACTTTAACTGTTCTCCTTAAATACCAGATAGAAATACATAAAGTAACGATTCATGTCAGACTAGAAACTGCTAAAGATAAACATCTTTAGACAACATCTAAACCTATGAGGCATTAAAACCTAACTTGTAAAAGGAACATTGTGTTACACAATATAAATGAGTTTCACTTCATTTCTTAAGGCAGGGGAGCATGGCTGATGCCACAGTGTCTGCCTTAGAAAGTGAGAAGAAATGGGCTTTTTGGGACTGTGTTGTAATATAAAGTAGCTGCAGGGTTTCTTCCTGCTTTAGCACTCGGTATTAGTGACAAACATTGTCAGGTCTGCAGGTACTGGGGCTTCAGTAATTCTTGTTTCTCTCATTACCTCACAGAATTTGTTCAGAGACACCCAGGGTGAGGGCCAGGCTGAAAAAAGTCAGTTCTCTACAAAGGATTTGTAAAAGGTTTTAAGAAAACTGAAGGCACTGGATGAGCTGCTGGCATTCAGGGAGATGACATGGCTGGGAACAGGTCCATGTGCAGCACTTCAGTACTTAATGGACTGCAGTCCTTAACATTTTCCATTCTGGGGCTGGGATGCAGAGGGATCCCACCCTCCCTGCCCACAGCAGTTGTCCTTACCCAGCACAGGTGAGTCACACTCCTGAATCCCCCTGCTCTGTGCAGCAGCCAGGACTGCACATCCAAGCACTCTGCCATCTGCATTTCTATGTTATCACTCATTCCTTAGGGAATAAGAAGCTTTAGCAGAATACCACAGAATGATCTCACCCAACAGACACAAAAACCTTAAAGTATCTGGATTTAAATCATATCTCTTGTTAAATCATGACTTAAAATGACACTGCCAACTTGGGCTAATGAATTTGCTTCTATATAAACACATCACTGCACTACCCATTTCAGCTTCCAGATGCCTGGTTCACATTTGTGAGGCTAGAAATTACCTTGAGATCATTCCCTCCTTGTAAAGAGGCTGTAACTGTTCTAGAATGTTCAGTACTTCAGTGCACCAGCTCATATCCCATTAGAGCACTTGAGGTTCATATCCCACTCAGTATAAAAGGCACCTGCCCCCATTAAGCATTTACTGAGCAGAAAAGCCTGAGGGAAAATGAGGAAACCCAGACAGAGTTAAGATGATCTGTCCATCTACCCAAATCTGGCACATAGACCAAGTTCTTTTTAATTTTAAGGAAGCAAAAGTGCCATTTTAGTCTACTAGGAGGACATCCCTGACCCAGCCAGCCACCTCTGAATCCCATGGGACACCATGACCAGCCACATGAAGATGGGTTTTTCTTTATAGTAATACCAATTGAAAGGCCATGGTTTCTTTCTCTGAATCCTCTCAGGAATAAGGAAAGAGCTTTCCACTTCTCTGAGCAGCTCATGCTATGGACAAAAAAGAGTTCCCAAAGTCTTCTGCATCTGGCCTGACCATTCTTAGCTCCATGTAAACATGCCTGGTTCTACCTTGCAGTTCACTGGGATTATCTGAGTATTTACATGAGTATTACGTGAGTATTTAAGTGAGGACACTTACAGTAATAGTCCCAAATTGACTGCATTTTTTTCCCTACTTTTGTTCCATTTCTCACTCCCCAGGAGCTTGCCTTTTAATGTTTGCCATTTTCAGGTATTGCTGTATTTGGAACATCCATCCTCTGCAGCGTTAAGGAATCTAAATATTCTCCTTGAGCTAAGGTGTTACCTGTTCTTTTTCAATCCAGAAAGTCTAAGTGACAGGGCTCTAATTGCCTGTCGGAAGAGTTTCTCCCTCTTCCCAAGCACTGTATGTGAACATACCCCTCTATTTATTATCTAAAGTAATATTTTTATTATTATTATTTTTGACCAGTAGCTGCTCTGACCCACATTGCTGCCAGCTCACAAACACAGTTCTGAGAATGAGGAGTTTCTTTTAATGCTTTGAATGCTACAGTAGCTACAGAGCTGTCTTAGGACAAATTATAGCTGCCCAGGGAAAGGTTAATGAACAGTGCTTAAAAAATCCTCTTCTCCCTTCAGCATCTTTCTGAATGACAGCCACTAAAATAGGCCAGTCTGAGGTCTCTTAATGAGATGCATTTTTCTGAATGTTGAATTCCTGGGACAGAACACAAAAATAATGTTTCCCTACTGTCCTTACCTATAAAGCCAACCCTTCTGAGCAGGCTGCAGCCCGATTTTCCTCACTGGTTGGGAAGGGAGCTTGGAAGTGACAGTTCCATCCCCACTTCCAGGGCAACATGGCACTCAGAATAAAGTACAGGCTGCAACTGCTGCAGCTGCTCTGACTAATTCACTGTTTACAAGTCCTATTCTAGACTTCCTCTTACCAAAGTCTTGCACAATGAAGCTGATGTAACTCTAAAAAATGTCCTTCAAGTTAAAATTGCAGCTGCTGCTCTCTGGATAAACTCACTGTAACCTGAAACCTCTTAAATGTATTTGAAAGAGGTCAAAACCTCTGTACAACAAAATAATAAGAATAAAATCCCTGAGTAAAGTAATAACATTGTTAGTATTTATCCAGACATCAAAACTATATGGTTTTCACTAACCTCAAAACCTGTCACAGGCCATCACCAAGCCTAGTTCAGATTCCCCCTCTGTTTCCCTCTGCTTAGCCTGCTCCCAGCTCCCTTCTCTGCTCCACAGAGAAGCTGCCAGGTGGGAGATCTTCTCTTTGGTCTTGCCACAAGTGCTCTCCTTACATCAAGACTGCACGGCCTCTGGTGCTTCTGCTGACAGCTTTTGTTTTTGCCACAATGCTTTGAAAATGAAGAAAAATCCTCCACAAACTAGTTTAAGGTAAGGAGGCTCAGCTAAGTTAATAAAATTAATGGAGGTATTGTCTTTGAGAAATGGTGATCAGTTTTGCTTTAAATAATGAATTACTGTTAGCTACAAAGTTAAGCCTCAAGAGCCAGAAATTAGAAAAACGTGGACTATGCAGATAGACTGATGTGAAACACAGCAAGGAACAGTGTCTCTGAAATGACTTATTGCAGCTATCAGAAAGACACTGTCTCTCAGAGAAGAGAGGGCTTTATTCAGAATCTTATCACTCTGTTGATAGGCTTGATTTCACACCTCTTTGCTGGTGGTTCTTGCAAACCAGTATTTTTTAATAAATAGATGGATGCTACTGAGTTTGTCTCATGTTGCATGCTGTATTAATACCTTCCACAATCACCTTCCCAGTGCTGAACAAGCACAGCTACAAACGTGACCGGTGGGAGAGACGTGTTCAACACCTGAGCTGGGTTGTGGAACACGGTGCTCACAGCTGTCCCCAGTTAGATCCTGGGAACGGCACCCCGCCCCATCCTGCCTGCAGGCTCCGATCTCAAGAAGCGGTAACGAGCTCCAGCTGCTGCCGGGCCCGCCCGCGGGACCGTAAGGTACAGCCTCCTTTCTCATGGGCTTTACACACCATTGTACTGCTCCGTGTGCTGATGTGGCACGCAAGCTCCGAGCCGCCCGCAGAGCGGAGGTGAGCAAAAATCCCCATCAGGAACCGTCCAAGTGTGTGAGGGTTTAAAGACGCGCCGAGGCGCTGTCTCGGACCCCGGCAGCCCCGCGGCGGGGTGGGCAGGGAGCCCCGGGAGCGCAGCCGTGCCCTG